GAGAAAGGATGTTCCTTCTCTCCACGCTGATGGCTTTCATATGGTTCCTCTTAGAATTCCAGCAAGAAAAGACATTTTGTTTGGGCATTTTTTTTAAGATTTGTTTATTTTTATTTGAAAGGCGCTTGCAGAGACAAAGAGAAGATGATCTTCCATCTCCCAAAATGGCCACAACAGCCAAGGCTGAGCTGATCTAATGCCAGGAGCCAGAATCTCCTTTCAGATCTCCCACATGAGTATGGGAGGCCAGGAACTTGAGCCATCCTCCTTTGCTTTCTGAGGCCATAAGCACGGAGCTGGATCAGAAACTGGGAGACCAGGACCAAAACCAGTGCCTTTATGAAATGCAAGCACCACAGGCATAGGATTAGCCTAATATGCCACCATGTTGGCCCCTGGTTTTTGTTTGTTTTTCATTTATAGTAAGACCGGCTCATCAAGATAGTGACAGGGACCATGGCAAGGGATTTTACATTTGAAGATTTGAACTGTTGATTGGTATATTTAGTGTGAAAATAGTATAGTGGCTGTGTGAAAAAAGTGTCCTTCTAGGAAATGCAGGCTAAAATACAGCTGAAGGTCATAAAATGTACTTGAATATTTTAGCTTTAAAACAAGTCATTGCAGACAAAGCAAGTATGGCAAAATCTTAAATTGTGAACTCACAGGAAAAAGGAGTATGTATCAAATTTTAGATTTCTCTAAAGGTTAGGATAAAATTCAATAAACTGAATGTAAAAGCTTTTAACAATAAAGAGAATACGATCTAAGGGTATGCCTACATGTCTTATCCAAGAGAAACAAAACTGGTTACTTAAACTTCATAAGAATATCTTCTCATCAAAAGATACCATTAAAAAATAAGCCACAGACTGATAGAAAATATTTGCAGAAATATCTGGAATAAGTTTAAAAAAAAATGTGTCTAGAATACAGCTCTCAAAACGACAACAAAAAACAGAAAAAACAAAAAAAAAATAGAATACAGCTCTAACTCAAAAAAAGGCCAAAAACATTTTTTTTTTTAATGAACGGAAGACTAGAACAAAAGTAAGACGTAATTACTAAGCCTTGGAAGTTCTGGAAATTGGGTGGTCTCTGCCACCCTCATGGGAAGCCTTGTTAGAGCTCCTGGCTTCTGGCTGTTGCAGACATTTGGGGAGAGAACAAGTAAATGGAGGATCACTCCGTATCTCAGACAGAAGAATGTTCATATTACCTATAACAGTCAAAAACGAAATGACCTAAAACCCACTAACAGGTAAATGACTAAACAGACTGCAGCATGTTCCTAAATAAGAGTACTACTCAGCCATATAAAAAGGAAAGAATTACTGATATTGTATGATCCATTTATATGAAGGTCTAGAACAGTTAAAACCCTTTTTCAAGAAAAAGTGGTTTCCTCTTTGGGGCAGAGGAGGATTTTCGGGGAACATATTGGGGAACATATTGGCACAAATAAAATCTATCTTGGGGTTGCTACAATGGCTCAACTGGTTAACCCTCCACCTCCAAGCACCAGCCTCCCATATGGACACCAGTTCATGTCCTCACTCCTTCACTTCCAATCCAGCCGACCCAAAGCCTTGGGACCCTGCACCCATGTGGGAGACCTGGAAGAGCTCCTGGCTCCTGGCTTCGGATTGGCTCAGCTCCAGCCGTTGGGGCCACTTGGGAAGTGAACCATTGGACAGAAGATCATCCTCTCAGTCTCTTCTTCTCTCTGTGTATCTGCCTTTCCAGTCAATCAATCGATCTTTTTAAAAATTCAAATGGAGGAGTTAGGAATATGTTGAGATATAAGAATGGTAGTGTTGAGACCAAAACAAGGTAGGAGTAGACTCACTCTATATTTTAAGTTTGTATAAGTTTGGAGAAATGTAAGCTGCTGGACAGAGATTTAGCTTTGAATTTCCCTTTCTTCCCATTTCAAATGCACAATAACATCTCTGAATGTCCATTTTGACCATGTTATTCAAGTCCCAACTGCTTCACTTCAGATCCAGCTCCCTGCTAATGTGCCTGGGAAAGCAGTAGATGGTGGGCCTTGCACCCAGGTAGGAGACCTGAATGAAGTTCCTAGCTTCAATATGACCCAGCTCTGTCCACTGTGGCTATTTCGGGAGTGAACCTGTAGATGGAAAACCTCGCTCTCTTTTTCTCTCTCTTTGTGCATGTGTGTGTCTTTTCTCTGCCACGCTACCTCTCAAATCAATCTTAAAGTCATATCCTTAGGGGCAGGCATTTGGCGTAGCAGCCAAGACACCCATGTCACATTAAGATGGAGTTCCTGGATTTATTACGCTGGTCCTAACCCTGACTCCGTTTCAAGACAAACTGGTGCCCACATAGGACTCAGGTGGCAGCTTACCCACTATGCCACAATGACAATTTTCATTTGAAAGATGAAGTTTCCTTTCAGAGAAAGGAAAAAGAGGAAGAGAGGGTAAAAGAGGTCTTCCATCCATCTATCCATTCACTTTCCAAGTGGCTGTAAGAATTAGTGCTGAGGCAGGGAGTAGACGGATTCCTGGAACTCCATGTGATCTCCCCGGGTCTTGGGTCATCTGTTGCTGCATTCCTAGGTGCATTAGCAGGGGCTGGATAGGAAGTAGAGCAGCCAGGACACAAACCATGGCTCACACGACTGCCTTACTGGTTGTGGCTTAGTCCACTGCATCACAATTGACCCCTTCATCACATTATTAAAGGTAAGTTTGTTGTGCTCGGATCAGCAGTGACAGAGAAAGCTCAACTGTGCTAAGCTCAGGTCTTGAGTTACCCAATGAATCACAAGAAGTCTGACATCAAAGCAAGCCCACAAAGGCGGTTTATTCAAGCTCGGCATGTCCAAGCATGGGCTCCCAGCTGTCCCCGACGCAGTGGATCAGAATTGAGCAGCCTTCAACCAACTGACCGACCGGCCAGCTGGCCAGCCAGGACCAACACCTCTTACCGGAGTGCGGTCACGAACAGCACATTCACAGAGTTTTTACAAGGGCAGTCCACAATAACTTGAAAAGGGGGCAATGCACAATAGCCTGCAAGGTGATGGGGAAATACCACACATTGCCTACCTATCTTGGCTGGACAGCCCATGCCTGGCTCTTTTCTGGTCTAACAATTAAGGTAACCACCCACTTAATTGCTTGTAGCCACCTGTAAGATAACCAGACTTGGACCCTGATTCATGAGAATTGGGGCCCATTCGTGTTAAAGGTCACAAAGGCCATTTGACTCACACAGCTTGTTATCAGCAATGAGCCATGAACAAATGTTTGGGATTTTGATTCTGAGGTTCCTCAATTATATTTGGCTTCAAGGACAGTCAAGGTCATTTTGTACCTGCAGCAGCATGCATATCAATTTGCAGCACTTCCGTGGTAACTAATTTGGTAGTATTATATGCTCAAACTTTGAAGCTGCTTCCACCCCTAGAAATTTGAACTTGGATTGGGCATTTGATGCCAGTAAGTATATTACCAGTGAAAAGGTATTACAGTAATAATAAAAAAAAATGCTCACAAAAGTATTGAGGGGGTAGAGATGGGGAAGATGTGGCAAAGCAAAAGTGCCAAAATGCTGCAAAAATCTACGGAGGCATTGAGCTTTGTCATACTATTACGTTAAACGTTTGTATGTCTGGATTTTAAAGTTTTCAAGACTACCAGGGATAGCGGCAGCTGCAGGAGGAGCTGCGATAGCCCAGACGTTTTCCCAGACCTTCCCAGATCAGCGCTAGAGGACCCCCAGGCAGCATCGGAGGAACCAACAAGGGCGTGGGAACAAAAACCGGACGATGCACAGTATTATTGTCTTACTGTTACAGTCTTCTTGGGAATTACTGTGATGCTGTAGCTGATGGAAAGAAACCTCTCAAGCTGATCGCTCTGCCGAGAAAAGGGAAATGTGACTACCATGAAAAAAACGTGGCTGCTGCTGTAGAGACTTTTGCAGAAGATCAGAAGTTGCATAGTACAGATGCTGATTTCATTGCCAAGAAGATGTCAAGAAGCTCAGAATGGATCAGAATCTGAGGTGTCTGCATCCCAGTGCACTCAGCCAAAAATCAATTCTCTGCTTTGGTGAAACTCCCTTCTGGAGAGGATTACAATTTGATCACTGAGGCTTCTTCATTCTACAGTTTCAGAACAGAGTACCTTTAAAGTACTTTGAACAAAGGTTGAAATTAAAATGAAAAAAAGAAAAAAAAAAAAACAGAGGCTGTGAGATGAGAAAAGCTAGAGGGGCAAGGAGATACACCTCAACCAAAACAATTCATAGCTGATGTAAAGAAACTATATCCATTATCATCTCATCATGCAAGAAATTGGGATAAATTGGTTGGTGAGATCTAAGAAGAGGAGAACGAGAACTTGGAAGGAGATGCAGCTTTAAACAAGTTGTTTCAGCAGATTTATTCAGATGGTTCTGATGAAGTGAAATGTGCCATGATCAAATCATTTATAGAGTCGTGTTACAGTTTTGAGTACCAATTGGTCTGATGTAGGTAAAAGAAAAGCCCTTGAAATCAGCCCTTCTGATGATATGCAATGGAAAAAATACTAAATAAAGGAACTTGACACCACTGTATTGCAAAACAATAATAATAATAAGGTTTTCAAAATGTGTAAAAATACACGTTCACTGAGTCATGCTTGTCCCTAAACTTGGTCAGCACAAGTAAAACTGATCAACTACACAGCCCACTCCAGCAAGTCGGCTCAACTGACACACAAGAAATCATCACACACACAAAAAAGACGAAAAGGCAGGCGCAGTCAGAGGAGTTCCGCCACCAGCGAGCCAAGGACCAACAAGATAAAATCCAACGATGCGGAGTCCTGCGCCCAGAGCGCAACGCGCCTGCGCAAGGACAGAGGCGGTCCAGCCTCGGGCTGCGCGGCGGAAGCGTGCGCGCCCCGAGTCACGTGGCCCCGCGCGGAGCTGGGCGGGGCGTGGGCCGTGCCGCCGCGTCCTCGCGGGCTGGGAGGGCGGTGGCGGCGCATGTGTGCGGGGCTCGGGCTGCCGGGGTCTCCTCAGGGAGGCCGGCGTCTGCGAGCCGGCGGCGGGGGAGGCGAAGGGCCGCCGGGGCCAGTCCGGCTGCGCTCCGCCACCGCGCCGGGCATCATGGCATCGCTGGCCGACAAGGTGCGGGACCACGGGCGCATCGCCGTCGGGCTCCTGTTCAACTTGCTGGTGTCCATCTGCATCGTGTTTCTGAACAAATGGATCTATGTGCACCACGGCTTCCCCAACATGAGCTTGACGCTGGTGCACTTCGTGGTCACCTGGCTGGGCTTGTATGTCTGCCAGAAGCTGGACATCTTCGCCCCCAAGAGTCTGCCGCCCTCCAAGCTGCTGCTCCTGGCCCTCAGCTTCTGCGGCTTCGTGGTCTTCACCAACCTCTCGCTGCAGACCAACACCATAGGCACCTACCAGCTGGCCAAGGCCATGACCACGCCGGTGATCATAGCCATCCAGACCTTCTGGTACGGGAAGAGCTTCTCCACGCGAATACAGCTCACGCTGGTGAGTGGCCGCGGGTCGGGCGGAAGGCTGCCCGGGAGGTTTGAATGCTCGTTTGTTCTAACCCTTCCCGCACCTGTGGGTGTGCCCGCTTGAGGCTCCTTTAGGGAGAGCAAGGGGCAAACCAGCTTGAGCCTCACTTGGCTTTTTGCTCAGAACGGGGTGTCTGGGGGAGTCTTATTAAGCACCACGAAAACGCCTGTGTTCGGTGGTGGCGAAATCCAGTGTATCAGAATTGGCGCCAAACAGCAGGCACACCGTGTCTGATGCAAGTGGAAACGTTCAGCACAAATAAGACTAGTCTGTACCGACAGGCTGCAGAGGTGCCTGCATCTTTAAATAAATCAGGAGAGACACACTCATACTGTGTGAACAGCTGGTGGCTTGTAACATGTAAGTCGTGACGCTGTTGTCACATTCAGAGCTGCTTTGGGGGTTACCTGTTCACCTGTGTGACTCCTCATTATTTTTATCCCGTTTAAAATTAGAATTAAGTGATGCAAATCAACATAGAATGATCATGGATCACAAATAAGAAATAAGATGGAGAGTTCGCTCTCTCCAGTGAAGAAATGCAGGCATATAGACAGCGTGGTGTGTGTCCCAGTTGTGTTCTAGGCTTAGCTTTGTAAGCAGCTTCATCCCATGTCTCTGGAATTGAATCTGAACAGCATCTGCCTCTTTCTCGTTACAGATTCCTATAACTCTAGGCGTAATCCTAAATTCTTATTACGATGTGAAGTTTAATTTCCTTGGAATGGTGTTTGCTGCTCTCGGTGTTTTAGTAACATCTCTTTATCAAGTGGTTGGTAATTTTTTTTTCTTTATGTACTTCTTTAGCAGATTTCATAAAACTTGAAGCTGTACCCAAAAGTTTAGAAAATGCAGTGTAAAGACTGTTGGGAGGAAGGTATAAGTGCATGAACTGACTTGAGGTGAAGAGAACATGGTTGTATGATGCTCACCACATCCCTGTTCGTAAATGCGGGATCCCCACGCAGAGCAGTGGTGTGCGAGGAAATCATGCTATTTTTCCGGGGAATGTTTGCAACATAATATGATGTTTTACTTGGTGCCTTCATTGGTTATATGTATCCATTACTCTTCAATCACAGCATTGCTAAGAACTGGGTGCACACCCAGAAATTTGAATGGGCAAGAAACAGAATTAAAGTTTTTTGTTTTTGTTTTTGTTTTTTTGCTTTCTTTTTTTTTTAATCTCCAGCATTATGTGGTTGCTGTAACTTGCCTGTTGGTTACATGTATCAGTAGAGTCCTTTAAAGTCAGGGATTTTCCACTTCCTGACCCAGCACAGTGCCTTGTCTAAAGCAGACACTCATTAAAAACTTACTACAAATATGCTTTTTTGCTTGTTACATTGTGCGTGTGTGTGTGTGTGTTTATCAGGGTGGGGTGCAATAGCTTGGTTTAGCAGATGGTGAAATAATAACATTATTCTCTCTATGCTTGGTCTGGGACTCTGGGTGTGCCCACGTGGGGAATCAGAGCCAGAGTGGGCAGCCGGTTTTCCTCTTCGCCCAGGCCTGTGGCTGTTCTGTTGGGAGCTCAGTAGCACTGCCCTGGTGGTAAGCACTTCAGAGACCTGCTAGGAATCAGTGCTGTGGTAGAGCGGATTGCTGTTGGCCCAGCAGCAGGGCAGGTGAGAGCGCCGCAGGCTGGCGTGGTGGAGCAACCACTCCTTGTTGCCACTTAGCTCAGTGATGTTCTGTCCTCACCACAGAGAATGAGCAGAAGCTGCTCTGTTCTATGCTGTAAAAACGAAACAAAACAGGACCCAGGGCGGTAGCCTAGAGGCTGAAGTCCTCGCCTTGCACGTATGCTGATCCCATGTGGGTGCCAGTTCCCTTCCCATCTGTTCCACTTCCCTTCCAGCTCTCTGCTTGTGGCCTGGGAAAGCAGTCGAGGACGGCCCAAAGCCTTGGGACCCTGCACCCGCGGGGGAGACCCGGAGGAATCTCCTGCCTCCTGGCTCCTGACTTTGGATCAGCTCTGCTCTGGTCTTTGCAGGCACTTAGGGAGTGAATCATCGGATGGAAGACTTTCCTGTCTTTCTCTCTTTCTCTCTGTACATCTGCCTTTCCAATAAGATAAGTAAATAAATAAATCTTTAAAAAAAACAAAAAGTAAGCAAACAAACAAAATAACTAAAACAAAACTGTGCGAGGGCACTTTGGTGAGTTTAAATTTTCTTACCAAGTGCAGTAAGGAGAGAACCTTGTTATATACACTTTTTTTTTTTGCTAGTGTAGGTTAAACATTTATGCAGCAGGAAATTTAACTTGTTGATAATAGTTTCTTATACTCCTTAAATGTAGTTTCAATTCTGAGTATTCACTGTTCACGTCAATATAACTATTAAAAGCAAACGATTTAACAACAACAACAAAAAAAGAAACCCACAAGATTTCTCTTATTTATTTGAAAGGCAGAGTGACACAGAGAGAGGTCTTCCATCCTCTGAGTCATTCCTGGAACAGCCAGGGACCTCCATCTGCATCTCCCGCATGGGTACCAGGGACCTCCATCTGCATCTCCCACGTGGGAGCCAGACCCCGTAGTTGGGCCATCTCCCGCTCTTTCCCAAGCTCTTTATTAGGGAGCCAGACAGAAAATGACTATCTGGGGCGCAGACTACATCTCCCGCGGGGGATGCCGCCATCACAGGTAGCAGCTTAACAGGATGCCCCACAACACTGGCCCCAGCATCCCCGTGTTTGTTCACAGGAGTCTCCAAACTTTTACGAGGATTTTTGTGTCAATCAGGTAGATATTTGAAGTGAGGATGACAGGTGAATAATTGTAGGCTAACTAATGCACCCAGTGAAAGTGTTACTGCAGGATAGGTGTAACTCCCCCTCCAATTCCTTTTTTTTTTTAATATTTTATTTATTTATTGGAAAGTCAGATATACTGAGAGGAGGAGAGATAGAGAGGAAGATCTTCTGTCCGATGATTCACTCCCCAAGTGAGTGCAACGGCCGGTGCTGCGCCGATCCGAAGCCAGGAACCAGGAACTTCTTCCTGGTCTCCCACGCGGGTGCAGGATCCCAAAGCCTTGGGCCGTCCTCAACTGCTTTCCCAGGCCACAAGCAGGGAGCTGGATGGGAAGTGGAGCTGCCGGGACCAGAACCGGCACCCATATGGGATCCCGGCACGTTCAAAGTGAAAACTTCAGCCACTATGCCATGCCGCCGGGCCCTTCAATTCCTTTTTAAAGAGCTTTTTTTCTGCCCATTGTGTGTGAGCACAATTTCTAAGGTCTTTCTTATTATACTGAGGATATTAAAAGGCAGTAAAAGAGCTGTTCACTTTAGATGTAGAGAGATGCTTGGTTCTCTCATTCTTAAGCGGCTTTTCTGCTTTATTCTCAGCATTGAGGGTACAAAAGGAGCTGTGACATAGCCTCGTGGCATGTAATATGCTTCCTCTGGATCTCTTGCGTCCGTTGCAAGGGCCCAGGTACTTGAGCCATCACCTTTTCAGTATGCATTCGCAGGAAGCTGTGTTGCTGACATCCCACGTGCAGCGAAACTGCTGAGCCACAACGCCCGTCTCGGAGAACGGGCGTTGTCCAGTGTGCAGGCACTAGGAAAGGAGAGGGGGAGTGGGTGATGGACAGAGAGTTGGGGAGCAAAAGTGGGGAGGCCTGGGCTAGGCTGACAGGGGCAGACATGGAGAGGTGGGACTGGGCAGAGATGCCGTGGGCAGAGTGAAGGGACCCTGGAAATGTGAGCATGAGGAAAGGAAGGGGTCTGCCCCTGCTGGGGCAGGGCTGGCCTTAACTATTGAGCAATTCTGTGGAAAGAAGGGAAGGGCTTGATTGTAAGCCAGTTCCATCAGGCAGGCCGGAAGCGGCCCAGTGAGGACAGTCAGAGCTGTGGGTGGGAGCAGAGAGGTGAAAAGGAAAGGCCAGACGTTCACCTTAAAAATGGCAGGCGAGCGGCTGCAACCGGGGCCGGCGGGTTAAGCTGTTGCGGTGGACGCCTGCTTCCCTTATGGGGCCCGGCTGCTCCACTTCCAGTCTAGCTCCCTGCCTGTGTGCGGCAGAGGATGGCCCAAGTCCTAAAGCCCTGCCCTACACATGAGAGACGTGAATGAAGCTCTGACTCCTGGCTGCAGCCTGGACAAGTCCTGCCTATCGTGGCCCTTTGGGGGATGAACCGGCAAGGGAAGGTGTGTGTGTGTGGGTGTGCCCACCTCTTCCTCTCTATCTCCTTCTGCCTTTTAAGTAAGTAAAAATGTATATTTTAAAAGTATATGGGGTGGGGGGGGGGCAAGGGGAGGGACTGGGGGAATCCCAGAGCCTATGAAACTGTGTCATAAAATGATATAAAATTAAAAAAAAATATGTTCAAAAAATATATATAAGGGAGGGATACAATAAATTCAAATAAATTCATCTTTCCAAAAATAAAAAAGAAGAAAGGTTCTTGCGAGAGAAGTTGCAACAAGAAATTGTCAGGTCTGTCCTTTAGATGTGGCTGTTAGAGGTGAGGGGTGAGCTTCAGGGGTACAGGGATGAGGGTGGGGGTGGTCCGGAGGCCTGGGCTGCCTGCAGAGGCTGAGGCAAAGGAGGAGGCAAGCTAACTCTGCCTTGGTCTTCACTCACCTGCCCTCCCAGGAGCAGGCAGTGGCAGAGCCAAGCCTTCCTCCTTCAGTTCAATCCCGGGGCAGTCAGGTTCAAAGTGCCTGTCCACTGGGCTGTGTTTGTCTTGGTGAATGTCTTCAGTGGAGGGTGGAAGTTAAGGAAGGGAGCTGCAGGAGGGTGCCGGGCCCAGGCACACACGCGTGCTTCCAGTCATGAGGACTGTGCAACTGCAGCTTTGGCCGTGTTGCCTCTGTGCAGTGTTACCATCTTCTAGAGTTTGCGGCTGCGCAGTGCATTGAGGTATGTTGATGGGCCACCTGCCAAAAAGCACATCCACAGAGAGGGGCATTGCTTCTCGCACTGATTGGGCTTCCTCAAGGGACTGAAGAGACCACACCCTTTCCAGGCCAGCTGCCCTGGCATAACCAGTCATAGTTGTCCGCCCCTCCCTCCAAGTCCTGCTTTTAGAAGGAATGGAAGAGTAGCGCTGCTTCTGGACCCCTTCTGCTGTGTCCCACATCTATGTTTCCATGCCTGCCTCTTCTCCCAAGATCTCCAAGGCTTGTATCTTTCCCTGTTCTGTCAGATCAGAGGCAAGGGAGAGTCCCACCATGCCCCCACTCAGGAATGTAGAAGCAGACAGGTGAGCCGAGAGGGACTGCCCAGAGCTGGAAGGGCATTCATGTAGTTCACTGATCTTGGGCGTTTCATAGGCCACTCTGTCCCCCTTCTTCCCCCGCAGTCTGCACAGTGTCTGCTGTGTCTGGGGCTAGAGTGGTGGCTTGGGTTGAGAGATGCTGCTTCTCTGCACCTGACTTGTTTCATCTTGTCATTTGCAGTGGGTCGGAGCCAAGCAGCATGAATTGCAAGTCAACTCCATGCAGCTGCTGTACTACCAGGCCCCCATGTCCTCTGCCATGCTGCTGGTGGCCGTGCCCTTCTTTGAGCCAGTGCTGGGAGAAGGGGGGATGTTTGGCCCATGGTCAGTTTCTGCTTTGGTAAGTGTTCTAATTGCCTCAGTATCTGAGAAACTGTAACTACTAACTCAGCTGTGTTGGCTGGGGTTTTTGGTTCCCATTGTGCCCTCTCAGACCCATTCCCGTGTTTGTGTAGTCACCCTCTGAGGAAGAGGCACCAGCAGGTGAAGGGACCACCCCAGGTTGGACAGCGAGACAGTGACAGGGCCACAGCAGATCTGCCACAGCCTGCCTGCTGTCCGCATCAAGACAAGCTAATTTGGACATGTTGATTTTTGTGTTGGTTTTATTTTCATAAAGATAGTGTGTGCTTGTTGTGTAGAATTGGTACATGGATAAGAATAGAAAATAAAAACCCCCGCCAGAAACCTACCAAGATAATCCCTGTACCATGCTGGGGTGACCATTTCATTTGTCTGTTTTTCTTAGTACATGCAGACACATGTGGATGTGGATGTGTGTAATTTTTTTAAAAGATTTATTTATTTTGGGCTCTGCATGGTGGCCTAGCAGCTATAGTCCTCGCCTTGAACGCGCCAGGATCCCATATGGGCGCCAGTTCTAATCCGGGCGGATCCAATTCCCTGCTTGTAGCCTGAGATAGCAGTTGAGGACGGCCCAAAACCTTGGGACCCTGCACCTGTGTGGGAGACCTGGAGGAGGCTCCAAGCTCCTGACTTTGGATTGGCTTGGCTCCTGGCCGTTGTGGCTGCTTAGGGAGTGTATTATCAGATGGAAGAGCTTCCTCTGTCTCTTCTCTATATATCTGACTTTGCAATAAAAATAAACAAATCTTAAAAAAAAATAAATGAAATAAAAAATTATCTATTTTTATTGGGAAGGCAGATTTACGGAGAAGTGGTAAAGAGATCTTTCATCTGGTTCACTCTGCAAATTACCACACTGGTCAGAATCCAGGAACCAGGATCTTCTTCTGGGTCTCACGCAGGTGCAGATTTCCAAGGCTTTGTGCCATTCTCTGCCACTTTCCCAGGCCACAAGCAGGGAGCTAGATGGGAAATGGAGCAACCAGGACACAAACTGCACCTTATGGGATGCCAGATGGCAAGGCAGAGGATTAGCCTGTTTAGCCATGACACTGGCCCAGTGAACAATGTCTTCACACCTACCTCATGGATATATGAGAGGAGCAAATGGGTTAATACACGTTCTTCACACGTAGTACACGTTATGCAAATGTAAGCTGCAGTTCCATTCTGTCCGCAAGCAGCTTCTGCATTCTTGGAGGGCAGGAACTGTGAACATGCTTTGTTTCTCACAAGGCTTGGTCCGCTTTTGTAGGCATCCAATGAATGCTTATATTTTAATTTAAGTACGAATAAAAATGGACAATAAGGGAAAACCATAGAGATATAGCCTATGAGGTTAGAGCTAGCAATTGGGGGTAGCTGAGAAGTTTTAAAATTCCTGGGAAGGGTTTTTGGCAGTTAAGACACCTGCACGGCACATCAGAGTACGTGGGTTCAGTACCCGGCTCTAGCGCCTGTCCCCAGCTTCCAGCCTGAGAGGCAGCAGAGACCAACTGAGTTAAGTGTGATCTGCCACCTGTGTCCGAGACCTGTGTGGAGTTCCTGGCTTTCAGCTTTGGCCTTGGCCTAACTCCAGCCAAAGCAGGCATTTGGCTCTCTCTCTCTCAAATAGATAAAATCAACATACTAAAAAGAAATTCTTATGCATTTTTGCTTATTTTTATTTTGTATTTTTGTTATAATGTCTGTATTGTTTTTATGTTAAGAAGTTACTGGGGCCCGGCACAATGTCCCCTGTGGCTAAATCCTTGCCTTTCATGTGTTAGGCTCCTATGTGAGCACCAGTTCGTGTCCCACCTGCTTCACTTCCATTCCAATTCCCTGCTTATGGCCTGGGAGAGCAGTGGAGGATAGCCCAAAGCCTTAGGACACTGCACCCGTGTGAGGGACCAGGAAGAAGAAGCTCCTGGCTCCTGGCTTTAGATTGACTCGGCTCTGGCCGTTGCGGCCACTTGGGGAATGAACCAGCAGACAAAAGATCTTCCTGTCTCTCCGTCTCTCTCTCTCTCTCTCTCTCTCTCTCTCTCTAAATCTGCCTTTCCAATAAAAATACAAATAAATCTTTATATAAAAGAAGAAGAAGTTGTTAGGGCCAGTGTTATCACATAATGAGTTAAGCCTCTGCCTGCAATGCTGTCATTCCACATGGGCACAGTTCATGCCCAGCTCCTTCACTTCCATCAACCTTGCTTCTGGTGGCCCAGGAAAAGCAGCAGGTGGATGACCCAAGTGTTTGGACCCCTGCCACTCACATGGGAGGCCTGGGTGGAGTGTTTGGCACTCCCTTAGCACTGGCAATCACAACCGTCTGGGGAGCAAACCAGTGGATGTTCGTGGATGTTCATAGATGTTTGTGGACAAACTTAATTTCTAGCACTATCTATTCTGCTCTTTTACTCTCAAACTCTTGCTGCTTCACAAAATTGATTCTCTCTTTTTCTCATCTTTTATTTATTGGGTCATGTCTGAATTTTTAAGATGCCAGATAACATGTGTCTTGCTGTGTCATAATTGCAGTGTCTTGAATTAATGAGTTTTTGGTTTCTTTGTAGCTTATGGTGCTGCTGTCTGGAGTGATCGCTTTCATGGTGAACTTGTCAATTTATTGGATCATTGGGAACACATCACCAGTCACGTATCCTTTTCAAAATAACTTACAGATGCAGAACCTGCCATGGTTTCCAGAACTGTCTCATTTATCACCCTGAGTCTCACACTATTACACAGCTTAAATTGAGTTGGATGAGTTATGTTTAGTCTTTTACTGTATCTTTCCACACTAGAATTTTTTTAAAAAGATTTATTTATTTTTATTGCAAAGTCAGATAGATATAGAGGAGGAGAGAAAGAGAGGAAAATTTTCCGTCTGTTGATTCACTCCCCAAGTGGCCGCAGCGGGTAGGAGTTGAGCCGATCTGAAGCAAAGAGCTCAGAGCCTCCTCCAGGTCTTCCACACGGGTACAGGGTCGCAAGGCTTTGGTCCATCCTTGACTGCTTTCCCGGGCCACAGGCAGGGAGCTGGATGGGAAGCGGGGCTGCCGGGATTAGAACTGGTGCCCATATGGGAACCCTGCGCATTCAAGGCGATGACTTTAGCCACTCGGCCACCATGCTGGTCCCCACACTAGAATTTTTAAAGAAATATGAGGAAAAATTTTTTTAATTATACATGTTCTTGAATTGGTTTTTTTTTTTCTTTTAATCATAAATGTTCTTGAATTTTCTTAAGAAATAGTGTTTTTGCCTTATGGAAACTTAGAACATTGTTCCTTGCAGTTGGTTAGTGGGCTTAAGTAGAATTGGGTGAGTCAGTAATGGGGAGAAAACCCTGGGTTTCCCAGTAGGTATGTGCAGCCAGGAAGCAGAGGAGGTTAGCAATGCAGTGAAAGGTGAGGGCAGAAGACCGCCATCTGGCTGTTGGTGCGCTTCCGTTTTTGGACTTGGTGGAGGGTGTGCTTGTCTTTCTCAATATTCTTTCAGTCAGGAAGTGAGATTATATAAATTGGAGGTCAGATTCAACTGCTCATTTTTAGATTTCTGCCAGTTCTGTTTCCCTTCACATCCGTCTGCCCCACGCTCAGGCAAATGCAAAGAATGGCTACCCTGCATTATGGTTCAATAGTGTGCTAGCCAAGTGCACAGATTTACTGCATATCTGAGTGAATATTGAGGAGTTAACAAAGTTGACAAAGTAAATAAATAGCATTATTACCAACTACCAAAAAAGAAAATAGTGTTATTTTTAAAAAAGCTGACAAAAAAAATATTTACTTTTGGCCAGGTATTGTTAGCACATTTGGTGCGTATTGTATTAGCTGTCTTCGTTTCTCACAGTAGCTTTCCAAGGCCACAAGTAGGGAGCTGGGTAGGAAGTAGAGTAGCCAGGAGATGAACCGGCTATCATATGGGACCCCAGTGCTTATGATGGTAGGATTAGCCAATTGAGCTATTGCAACAGGCCCTAAAAGTCCATAGAAAAATGGTATTATGAAATACCTGTGAATTCCAAAATGTTTTGCACATTTTTTTTTGAAAATTGTTTTAATTACTCTTGTAGGCAGTGTTGGACAATGTTAAAGAGAAAAGACACAGCAGGAGAGAAGTTGTGAACTGTGCCGGAGAGGGTTGAAATGTTCAGTGGAGGGGAGATCCCCCGCAAACTAAAGGGGGCGGAGGACAAGGGGACGCTCAGGAGGCCACTGCAGTATCCCGCTGAGATTCAGGATGGAGGCCGCAGGCTTTTCTGAGCAGTTGGCTGTAGAGAGCAAGAGAGGAAATGGAGTGGACTCATGTGGCTGCAGGCCACAGCACCTGGTGGGCTGGAGTGGCCATCCCCTGAGGTAGGAGAGCTTCCAGGAGACTGGGCGAGAGCAAGATGAGGCGTTCCGTTCTGGATGAACGTATCCGGATTCAGGGGTGACATCTCAGCTAGAGGTGTGACGGTCAGCAGGATGCGGAAGTGAGCTAAGGAAGTGAGACTGGGTAGGATCTGGCAGGGAACTGACTCGGATGCGGCCTTTCTGGACCCATGGAACCAGCACTGCCGTGCGGGTAGAACATCCGAAGCAGTGACTTGGTAATAGCTTTTATTATTATTATTTGTAATACGAGAAGCAGAGAGAGAGAGAGAGCTCCGATCCCCTGATTTACTCCTCAGACTCCAGCGATGACCGGGACTGAGCCAGAACCAGAGCTCAGTCCCTGCTTCCCATGAGGGTGAGAGGGATCTAGTGCCTGAGCCATCCCAGCTACCTCCCAGGGCTCACGATGGCAGGAAGCTGGAGTCAGGCACTGCAGCCAGGAATCCTGCTTAACCACCAGGCTAAGCAACCGCTTGTGGTAAGTGAATGTATAAATATGCATATGGGCGTGTGTATGCACGTACATGTGTGTTTATTTTTTAAAAAAGATTTATCTTTTTTTTTTTTTTTAATTGGAAAGGCAGATTTACAGAGAAGAGGAGATGCAGAGAAATTTCTGTCCACTGCTTCACTCCCTAAAGGGCCACAATGGCTGGAGCTGAACCGGTCCAAAACCAGGAGCCAGGAGCTTCTTCCTGGTCCCTCACACAGGTGTAGCGTCCCAAGGCTTTGGGCTGTCCTCCACTGCTTTCCCAGGCCACAGACAGGGAGCTGGATGGGAAGCGGGGCAGCCAGAACATCAGCTGGTGCCCATATGGGACCCTGATTCTTGCAGGGGAGAGGTTTAGCCACTTGAGCCATCTCGCTGGGCCCTGTGTGTGTTTATTTTTAAACTAACATGATTAGTAGAGCCTTTATACAATACTAAGTAACCAGCAGTGTGCTAATTCAGAGCATGGACTTTGGACTTAAATACACCTATCATGCTTGGACTCCAGTTCTGCCACTGCATACTGTTGGAGAGGCATTTGGCTGAACGCTTCGTCACTGCTCATGAGACAGGCGTGGTCGCCCAGCAGGCAAGGCCAGCACTCGGGGCTGTTTCTTCAGCTCCTGTTTCTGGCTGCCAGTTCCACGTGGGAGGCCGGGATGGAGCTCTGGGCCCCGGCATGTGGCCTGGGCCAGCACTAGCTGGAAAGGGCATGTGGTGAATGAACAGTAGATGAGAGATCTTCTGTCTCTCTGCCCTCTTGTGTCTATAGGTGAATAATTAATTAAAGGATTAAAACTTTGTGACCAAAGGCAAAATTTCTTGTAATTCTTGAGCCTGGGAGGGAGCCTGGAAAGGGTGTTGTTGTGCAACAGGTTAAGCTGTTGCTGAGAAGCCTTATAAAATGGGAAGAGTGAGCCTGCAGTGAGGTGCAGGGTATGGCTGCAGAAGGAATGTTTAAGAGTCCAGCATGGGGGCCCCGGCACGGTGGCGCAGTGGTTACGGTCCTCGCCTTGAACATGCCCGGGATCCCATATGGGCGCTGGTTCTAATCCCGGCGGCCCCGCTTCCCATCCAGCTCCCTGCCTGTGGCCTGGGAAAGCAGTCAAGGTCGGCCCAAAGCTTTGGGAACCTGCACCCGCGTGGGAGACCCGGAAGAGGCTCCTGGCTTTGGATCAGCATAGCATCAGCCGTTGCGCTCACTTGGGAGTGAATCATCGGACGGAAAATCTTCCTCTCTGTCTCTCCTCTCTGTATATCCGCCTTTCCAATAAAAATTAAAAATTAAAATTAAGTTTTTACAAAAAAAAAAAAAAAAAAAAGAGTCCAGCATGGGCCCCCAGTGCAATAGCCTAGTGCCTAAATCCTCACCCTGCATGCACCAGGATCCCATACCGGCACCAGTTGGTGTCCCGGCTGCTTTGCTTCCTGCCCAGCTCTTTGCTTGTGGCCTGGGAAAGCAGTAGAGGATGGGCCAAAGCCTTGGGATCCTGCACCCACACGTGAGACCTGGAGGAAGCTTCTGGCTCCTGGCTTCAGATCAGCTCAGATCCAGCCTTGGCAGACACTTGCAGGGTGAACCAGCGGATGAAAGATCTTTCTGTCTGTAAATCTGCCTTTCCAATGCGCCTTCCGCTCTTCAACTTGTGCACACCAGGTGTGTTGACATTGAGTCAGCACCAGGACACTTTCCCTATCTTGCCTCATTTCCCAAAGGCAGTCTACTGGAAGTGCCACCATAAAATGCAGTTACAAGTGGCTCTGCAAGGTGCGTCCCCCGTGCCTTGCACGCAGCTGCCTTCCTGCGTTTCCTTGGAGAGGTCAGTGGGGAGATGGAGGCAGTTTCTTGGCGCTGATTGACCACTGTCTTTCCCTGGGGACGCCAAGATTGACTCAGCGTTTGTGTCCCTGGCATTACGGTCACATTGCAGGTGGGAAGGGCATCAGGAGGCTGTGCTTTCCAACTACAGGAAGCCTCTGTGTGTGTGTGTGTGTGTGTGCGCGCGCACATTTTATCTAGCTTGTATCCTTTGTATCCTTATCCAAAAACCTCAGCTATAACATGTTTGGACACTTCAAGTTCTGCATTACTTTATTCGGAGGATGCGTTCTGTTTAAGGATCCATTGTCCATTAACCAGGGTCTGGGCATTTTATGTACGTTATGTGGCATTCTTGCCTACACTCACTTCAAACTCAGTGAACAGGAAGGAAGTAAGAATAAACTGGCTCAACGTCCTTGAGTGTTGGGGGACAATGAAAGCTTCCCCAAGAGGATTCAAGATGTTCAGTGTGCAAGTTGCTTTCAGAGGAGATAGAATCACCGTGCCAAATCCACTGACCGATTTGCAAGAAGTGATGCAAAGGAAGATTGTGTTCACAAATAGAACTTTTTTTTTAAAAGGACTTTTTTTTCCCCTAATGTAATTCTCTAAAGCCGAAAAGATTTATGTTTTTTTGTGAAGATGATGATGTGAAGGCTGTGGGATGGTTGGGTTATATCAAGTAAAACACATGAAAACTAAAATTCCATAGTAAGGACCAGGGACTTGTGTGGCAGCCGTGCTGTGTCACAGGCCCCAAATGCTGGCTTTCTGGAGTCCCACTCTCCTAAGGAAATAGGGGATTCCACTTGCCAGTAGATGCTTTGCCTTCTCCCAAGTGACATATATTATAACCTTGTCAAGAGTGTTCAAGTCAGAATTGAAATCATGTAATTCTATTTTTTTATTTTTTTGCTTTGCTTTAGTTGACCTTCCTGATTATTTCATTCATGGAAATGAAATATCTATAGAAAGCAAATAGAGAAGGTGATCATTTGATAGCTCTCAAAGTACTATTTTTCTAACAGAGAATTGGTGTCAGATATTATTTTCAAAAGCAACAGCTATAAGTTTACAGGTCTTCTGTTGTCTTTGAGCTTTCAGCAAGGTCTGTAAAGGCCAGGTGGAGTTGAACTCCTCACCGAGAGCGTGTTAAGAGCCTGTTCCTAGTGCTCTCAGGAGCCACCTGCTGGGCTCTTTGAGCATCTCATGGGGACAGTCATCTCAGCTGCCTGTGCCCAGCATCAGCAGCAGCCATGGAAACAACTCAGTGAGGGACATCCGTCCTTCCTGTGGTGACCGAGGCAGATCCTTGGGCGGCATGGAGGGCCAGCCCCCTCCTGACACTGAGAAGGAAGGAGGAACGATGTGAAAGTAGCAAGATGATTAATACTTAACTGGATCTGCGACTTTTCAAGGGGTGATTGGGGTGCAAGGAAGTGCATGGTTTCCACTTGAAGAAATCCAGTGCCACATATTTAATTGTGACCTGCATCCCTGTCTTTGGGCTTCTTGTGATACTCACGCGTGAGAAGCAGTTGTTGATAATTGTGCACTACACTGATCCTTTCGAAGGATTATTTATAAACTTGCAATGAGAAAATAATTTCAAATGACAAGGAACTCTGTGTATGGACTACACCTTCAGTATGACGGTTCATTCTGTTATGTGGTGTTACCCACAATAAAAGTACGCAAACGTGTTTATAGAGAATTTTTTTGTCCTTATCTGTTTTGAAGAATTTCAGTTTATCAGTCTGTTCTGACACTACTTTTTGCGATTTTTCTGTATTTGCTTTACATTTGCTCTGGTCTTCTGTTTACCAAAGAGACATTCGTATCTTACAAAGTGGTTGGTCTTTGCCGCAGGAAGCTCGCATCCCATGTTTGTGGAAAGAACATTGTTGAGTCAATTAGTAAATTGGCATGAGGAGGATTTGGTTTCTGTGCCCTGAACTTTGAGGTTCCAGTCAGTATGGGGTTGCTCATCAATGAATGGTAAGGAGAAAATGCAGTAAGAAGGCTGGAGTAAGATGGGCAGGGGGTGAGGGACATGTGTGTAAATGAATACAACACGTGCTGTTTGAACCATAAACATTCTTTGCCCTGGATACAGTCATCTCACTGAGAAGATTCTGCAAGAACATGCACCAGAGCACAGGAGCATGCTGAGCCCAGCCTGACGTGTGCCCTGGAAGGGAGCATGCTGCCTGTTCGCTCCCAATGTCCCCCGGCGGATTTTTAACCACTGACGCTCCGCCTTCACCTGTTAAAGCGCGCCTCGCGTGTTTCCTTTCGTGTTGCTGGTGAGAGGCATCAGAAGGCGAGCCTGGGGCAGGAGCGTGCCTCATCACTCCTGCCTGCACCGTCCCAGACCTGCAGCGCCCAAAGAAACAACCCCATCTCCCTCCTGACGAACAGATGGCAGAAAACAGAATCAAAGCAAGCTTACTTCTGATTCATTTTTTAAAAAATTATTATCAAAGCCTTGTTTTTGTGCTCTCTTCGTGATTTATTTCCAAGCTGTTACATCAGTCAAAAACATTGCACATCCACGCTGTCAGGAACTAGTTGTGGAAGGATTGAATCTGTGCAACGGGCAAAATCACAAGAATGCAAGAGCTGCCAACAGGCTGCAATGGGATAAGCCACTGCTTGGCACGCCTGCCTGCTTTGTCCAAGTCCCAGTTCAAGTCTCCACTGCTCTTCACTTCTGCTCCTGCTCTGCCAATCCACCTGGGAAGCAGCAGCTGGAGGCTCAAATGCTAGCAGTTCCTCCCAACCTGTGTGAGACCCAATGGGGTTCCTGGCTCCTGGCTTCAGCTTGGCCCAGCCCCAGATGTTGCAGTCACCTGGGGGGTGGGAGCGGGGATAGGGAAACCAGCACATGGAAAAATGGAAGGTCTCAAATGAATAAATCTTGTAAAAAAAAAAAAATGGAGACTGTGTGTATTGATGTTTTTAGTTTTACATTTTTGTTCCCAAATGTAAACTGAATTAAGCCTGCTAACATCAAGACCAGAGTCATAATTTCATTTACTCAAAGCTTTGCTGAACATATGTTAGGTAGATGCCAGGTATGTGCTGGGTACTGTGGGTATTTTTTTTTTAAGATTTATTTATTTTTATTGCAAAGTCAGATATACAGAGAGGAGGAGAGACAGAACCAGTGCCCATATGGGATCCCGGTGCGTTTGAGGTGAGGACTTTAGCTACTAGGCCACCATGCTGGGCCCTGTTATAATATTTTGTTGTGTTAAGACACATGATTTCTTTTTATTCACTCCTCAAGTGGCTACAACAGCCTCAGCTGAGCTGATCCAAAACCAGAAACTTCTTCCAGGTCTCCCACGTTGGTGCTGGGTCCCAAGGCTTTGGGCCATCTACTACTGCTTTCCCAGGCCACAAGGAAGGAACTGGAAGGGAAGCAGCCACGATATGAACCAACACCCAGATGGGATCCTGGCAGATGCAAGGCAAGGATTCAGCCATTAGGCTATCACGTCAGGTTCCACCATCAATCCCAAGAGTTCTGGATTTGAGCCCTGATTTCATTCCCAATTCCAGTTTCCACACACCCTGGAAGACTGGAGGTGATGGCTCAAACACTTGCTTCCTGCCACCCCATATGGGAAACACAGTTATAGAGTTCCAGGCTCTCGACTTCTTCCTTGCCAACCCAAGTTGCACCGGCATGTGGGGAGTGAACCAATAAATGGCAAAGTCTCTGTGTCTTTAATAAAATACCTGATGCCAAACAGTCAGTTATCCTTCATCAGCTGTTATCCTTTCTTTTTTTTTTTTTAAGATTTATTTTATTTTTGTTGGAAAGTCAGATACACAGAGAAGAGGAGAGACAGAGGAAGATTTTTGTCCGTTGATTTCATTCCCCAAGTGAACGGCTGGAGCTATGCCAGTCCAAAGCCAGGAGCCCGGACCCTCTTCTGGGTCTCCCACACAGGTGCTGGGTACTAAGGCTTTAGGTCGTCTTTTGACTGCTTTCCCAGGCTACAAGCAGGGAGCTGGATGGGAATTGGAGCACCCGGGATTAGAATCGGTGCCCATATGAGATTGTAACGCATTCAAAATGAGAGCTTAGCCGCTAGGCAATGGTGCTGGGCCTGAGTATTACCCTTTTTCAAGTGAGTCTTAAAATGTTATGAACAATCTGAACCCATAGTCTCTAAAATCATACTTTTTATTGAAGAGTGGATATCTGGATGCTATTCTGAGAGCCTTGCTTCTTTTTGAGTTTGAAGACTTCTCCCTCTACCACACACAAGATAGAAGGAATGGAATTTGCCACCGTACTGCCTATGAAAAAAGGCCTGTCTTCAGCAGCCCGCTGTTAGACAGAAGGTCCATTCAGAGCAGACAGACGTAGACTCTGGGCTCCCGTACAAGGCACGCAGTAACGGGAATGCAGGAAGCATGGCGCCTTTTTCAATCTCTGGTTGTGGTGACTATCTTTGGGAAAGAAAAATACAGGTTGAATATATTAAAAACATTCCTCTTGAAAGTATAAGACTCATGGCTGTGATACAAGCTTAAATCTCTTTGGGAATGAATAAGCAATCTATGAGAGAGCGGTAGACAAGTCCATCATCATGCTCATAAAATCAACCAAGTGTTTGAAAGTAGGACTGTCTGTTGATAGTGCCATTTGCCAATTTATTCTGAATGTTCTTGTGTTGAAAATTCTCTGGGTAAGCAAGGATTCTCATACAGGGAGAAAAACAAGCCTCTATCAGTGTAAGCAGAGTGTCGTTTTACGGAATAAAAGCAGTACAGTTGTAATAAGGTTATTCCTACATAAGCACTGTGCTTTGCAAAAAATGTTTCTTGGACTAATGTTTCCTTAACTTGTTTCCTTTTGATTTATCTTTTTCCTCTTTGTCCCAAGCTTCAAATCCAATATTCAGCAAACTATGGTTCTAATCTCTCTTTTAAAAAAAATCATTTATTGGGCCCGGCGCGGTGGCGCAAGTGGTTAAGTCCTCGCCTTGCACGCCCGGGATCCCATATGGGCGCCGGTTCTAATCCCGGCAGCCCCGCTTCCCTTCCAGCTCCCTGCTTGTGGCCTGGGAAAGCAGTTGAGGACGGCCCAAAGCTTTGGGACCCTGCACCCGCGTGGGAGACCCGGAAGAGGCTCCTGGCTTCGGATCGGCATAGTATCGGCCCGTTGCGCTCACTTGGGGAGTGAATCATCGGATGGAAGATCTTCCTCTCTGTCTCTCCTCTCTGTATATCCGCCTTTCCAATGAAAAAATAATAAAAATAAATCTTTAAAAAAAAAAATCATTTCTTTTTATTGCAAAGGCAGATATATGGAGATGAGGAGAGACAGGAAGATCTTTTATCCACCAGTTCACTCCCCAAGTGGGCTGCAATGGCTGGAGCCGAGCCAATCTGAAGCCAGGAGCCTGGAGCTTTTTCTGGGCCTCCCACATGGGTGCAGGGTGCCAAGGCTTCAGACCA